CTTTGGACAGGAAGGCAGTGCAGAGAGTGGTGAGGACAGCAGAAAAGATTATTGGTAGTTCACTTCTTTCTATCCAGGACATGGCATATAAGCATTGCTTGAGCAGGGTCTGCAGTATTGTCAGGAATGCTACACATCATCTCCATGACCAGTTTTCCTTGTTACCTCCTGGGAGGAGGCTTCGCGGTATCTGAAGCAGAACAACTAGATTCTGTAATAGCTTCATTTCATATAGTATCAACTTTGTTAACTCTCAACACTCTTTTTTATGGTATATATTCTAAATAGTCTGTGATTTATATATGTGTGTGTATGGAGATATATATATGTGTGTGTATGGAGATATATATTATATGGAGATATACACACCCACACCCACACCCACACACACAGAGAGAGAGAGAGAGAGAGAGAGAGAGAGACAGACAGACAGACAGTCAGTCAGTCAGACAGACAGACATATACTTTTGAGAGCAGGCATCAGAATTTCATTTTTTTAATGTGTGCCAGTGTATTCACAGAAAAAAGTGGCAATGAAGATTATCCTATCTTATTATGTATCTAATTTATGCCCACCATTCTTGTTACAAGGTTGCTAATGACAACTTAATCCAACTATTTTGCCTGCCTCACCCTCATTCTTTATCACTTTATTGTCATATTCATCCAGATAGTGTTAATATCTGAAGTGACAATTTTGACAACTTCTGATTTCTGTGGTATGGGAAGGAGAATTACGTTTAGTCTAGAGCTGATTCCCCTATAATAGATTTAATGTTGGGGCATGAACCTGCAGATTAGAGAGGCAGAACAAGGAGAAAAGAGAAGCAATTCACCCTTGAATTTTTCATGAGAGTCTTTGATGCTACTCCTTGTTGACAACTCAGAGCAATTTTAATTAATAGTAAAGGCATTTTGTTAGACTTGCAACAATAGAGAACTTACTAAAAGTCTTAGGACTGGAAGTCTTCTTCAGAGTTGGGGAGTTCAAGTCCACATATAGTTATATTTCCCCATAAAGGAATCCTTGACATGACTAATCATTTAGCAACCACCGAAAGTTACAATGGACATCTCCAGGTGTTGTATATCACAGTCACATGACTGTGATTTACAATCTTTTTCCTGGAAACTAATGTTTGCTTCTGGTTTCTGGCAAAAAACATCCCCTGTAGACAATGGATTCATTTAATGACAGGGGTATTTGCTGAACCACCACAAAAAGTTGTAAAATCAGATGTGATGACTGGCACTTAGGACCTAATTCTAGGCTCAGTTACAATTGTTAAGTCGAGACCTACCTGAATTTTCTAGAAAGGGCACAATTCCTCTGAACAATACAAACTGAATGTCTAAGCATAGGAAGTGGGGCTGGTAACTGATCTCCAAGAAGATAAAATTGCCAATAAAGCTGACATTCTTCAAGGCAAAGAGCGAATCTGCAGTATCTCCTACATTACAGTTAGTCAGCTACCTTACATTGGAGATCAGACTTTCCATTGCTAAGCAAGATGATGGTTAACTAAGTTGTTAAGCAAATCATTGCAGTTATTAAGTGAATCACACAGTCGTTAAGCAAATCTGGCTTTCCCCCATTAATTTTGCTTGCCCAAAGATGGCCGGGAAGGTCATGAATGGTGATCCCTTGATGCCAGGATGTTACAACTGTCAATACATGACAGTTGCCAAGTGCTCAAATCTTGATCACATAACCATGTGATGGTTGTGAGGACCTGTTGTCGGTCTCTTTTTTTCAGTGCCGTTGTAACTTCAAACAGGTCACTAAACAATGGTTTTAAGTTGAAGGTTAGCTCTATCCCACTCATACCAAACCCTTTTCCGTTTATAACTGAATTAGAAAAGCCATTTTCTAATTTCAGATCAATAGGGATAGAGAATGATTCAACAGTAGAAGGTTCTGTTTTTACAAATCACTGCATTCTTCGCCAGTTCTTATTGCCTTTTTAGCCTTTCCGCTTTGACCCATTGTCTAGGTATGAATACATTTACATTTTGCCTTCCTCCAGGAATTCAGGTGATTGATACCCGTAGTAAGACGCTGGGATGAGGATTGGTGACCCCATACTATGCTTAGTTATATGGGGACCTTGAACGTTCCCAATCTATTTACTTATTCTACAGTGAATGTTATGAGGAACCTGTGAGAGACATCTCCCTATACTTCTTCTCCAGTGGACATGGACTGAACCTGTCACCAGAGGGGGCTCTTGCCAACCAGATACTGAAGTGAAATTGAAGAATTTTCTGGCTATAGACAATTCCATCTCAAGTTGCATGTTGAAAAAGATCCCCAAGCTTATTCGTGTATAATTACTTAAGCAGCACATTGGTCTTGAATATCATAAACACCACAAGCTGCTTATAGCATTGTCTATATACTACCATGTTAAAACTCTTGTTCCTGTAACTTTTAACTGGACAAAATGATGCGTCACAGGGCAACTTGTTTTTGAATCAAGGTAACTCAGATGGGCTAAACAACAGAACGCATCCAAAATTTGGGATCCCTGAGTCTCAAGGGAATGAAATTTGGGGGAGTTTTGTCTGCTTTAGCTTTGCCCAGCTGCTGTTGTGATCATGATACTCATTTTGCAAATTCCTGCAGGTTTCCCCACTGATCTCACTATCCCTCACTCCTTCCTCCATCTGTTTACTTGCCTGCTGGGAAAAGAAAGGAAGGACGAAGGGAAGAGAGGAATAGGGAGGAAGAAGCCCCATTCCAAGCCCATGCCACCCCAGCACACATACCCTGTGCAACACCTCTTGCACACCCAAACACACCCTTCCTGACCCACACCATTCCCTATGCATTTCCCCTCATCTGCATGGCACCTCATGCTCCCCAAAGAACCTATCTCAATTCTGTAGCACCTCTCACACATCATGACCCTCACAGAAATGGCATTCACATACTGCTTCCGTGCTTTACAGCCCTCTCTAAGCAGTTTACAATGCTAGCATGTTGCCCTCAACAATCTAAGTTCTCATTTGGATGGAAAGCTAAATCAACCTTGAACCAAATCAGAACTGAATTCCACGCTGTGAGTGGAGTTAGCCTGCAAATTCTGCATTCTAACCACTGGGTCACAATGACTCATGCATCCTTCTGGATCCAAGCTGTCCCCTATCCATTCCATGGGGCATTCTCAAGCACCCACATGCACCTTTCCTGACCTTCCCAGCACTTCTTGTGCACTGCCACATACCATTTCTGACCTGCATCTCTGCACATTCCTCACTGCCTCAGTCATCCAGTAGCAGTCACTTACCTGCCTGCTGACCTTGGACTTTCAACTTTCTGCTGGCTTCCCCACTGACTTATTTCCTGGCAAGCTTCTCACAAACAACTGGGGAAGCCAACAGGAATTCTAGAGGGAGGGAAAGACGATAACAACAGAACGATAGATTTCCTTGCCATATAGAAACTCAATGGGGAAGCCAGCAGGAAGTTGGAAGCGTTTCCCACCCCCGCTTTTTTTATCCATCTGTGATTATTCTATTTCTGTTTAGGTAAGGAAATATATCTGAAATGATGATCCAATGAGGCACGGGTGGTCCAGGAGAGTCAGAGCCAAATAGCTTAGGGAAGGGATCACCAGATCCTCTTGCCCTCAAGTTAATATATTGGAATTCCTCTGGTGCTTTACTTTTAATTTAGTTTTGCTTTTTGTACCCCTCAGCTTTCAACACTATGAAGGCAGAGTTTCTAAATATTAGCATTATTTCTTTTCTTACATTTTAAACTCAGTTCTGACTTCATCAAGCAAGTGAATTTGGATCTTTCTAGCTGACAATGTGTCCTCAGAACAAGCAACAATTTTGTCATAAAAATCTGAGAAAAATACCACCAATGTTCAGAAACAAAGGAGTTTATTTCAGCCAAAGCTATTGAAATAACTCACTCTGGGAGGAGAGCTGTGTTAGTCTACAGCGGGGATGTCAAACTGCCGGCCCATGGACTGGTTGCATCATATGAAGGCCGCACCCACCCCAGCAATGCAAAAAGTTGCGATACATCGCAACACATCACATGATGCGGTGAGATTGACACCCATGGTCTACAGCAATAAAAATTCAGAGGCAGCATCTTTTCTGACTAGCAAACTTTATTAAAAGGTATAAGCTTTCCATGAGCTATAACTCACTGTTTGTGTCCCAATTTAAATCCTACATCAGTTTAGTCATTCTGTGCGCCTAATGACTTAATGATGATTATTACTAAAGCTAATGCCTTTAATAAAATTCATCTGAATATATGTTATCCGCTTTCTGATTTTGGAGATAACCTGTAGAAATCCATCGCCAGTGTGGTTAACAGAATTTCCTTTTTGCATAAGACAAGAAAAAAGTTTTCCTTCTCAATTAGGGAGCAGCAACATATAAATGGAGATATACCTGGACAGATGAAATTTGGAAATATAATACAACTAGAAATAGCCAGTTTGGTCTAGTGCAGTGTTTCTCAACCTTGACAATTTTAAGGCACGTGGACTTCAACTCCCAGAATTCCACAGCCAGCATTGCTGGCTGTGGAATTCTGGGAGTTGAAGTCCACGTGCCTTAAAATTGTCAAGGTTGAGAAACACTGGTCTAGTGATTAAGGCACCAGATTAGAAACCAGAAGACCATGAGTTCTAGTCCTGCCTTAGCCATGAAAGCCAGCTGGGTGATTCTGAGCCATTCATTCTCTCTCTTGGCCCAACTGACCTCACAGGATTGTTGTTGTGGGAAAATAGAACGGAAGGAGTATTACTTATGTTCACCACCTTGAGCGGTTTATAAAAATAATAAAGTTGGACTATAAATAAATATCACTGGACAGTTTCACAGAATACTGTAATGTCAAACAAGACTAATAATTCTCTTATAAATACTAACTTCAGGAGCAATGTTAAAGAAAATAGTACCATTTGCAAAGAAAGTTTCCAGCAATTGTATTTTTCAGCTAGCTCCTAGGAAGGATAATTATTGACAAAATATGCAGGACCTAAATGGTCAAAACCTTTAATGAATTTAAAAAAAAAAAACCATACACATACACACAGATGAAAAATTTACCAAATTTCAGAATCAAAGGATTCTTATCTGGAATACAGTGCAATTCCCTCTCCCTCCCCCAACACACTTTTCTTTGTAACGCAAACTCTGATCACTTTGGTTCAGATACTTACAAGTATTGGCAAGATTGAACTTCTAATGTATTTTGGCTGTCATTTCAAAACACAGATTGACAAATAAACTTTACAAATTAAATATCTGGTTTCATGATTACATATTTACAGTTACAATTGTCCACTTTCTTAATTACATCTGGTAGTAAGATATTATAGAAAGGTAGTTATTTCCCCTTGCGGAACCTCAAAACTAAATTTAGAGGATATAGTGGCTTTCATCTTGCATGTAAATGTTACAGAGGCATACTCAGATAATACCATTTAAACTGGATTATATAAGAAGTGAATTAACACACTTTAAAGAAAGAGTGGAAAATGAGAAGCCAGGCTTTAAAGCTGCAGCCTATAATTTACTATTCAATAATACCACAGATTTTAATGTAATCTCTTCAGAATAAATCATGTATTCTTGAAGGCTTTTTTAAAAACTGCCACTTTGTTTAAGGAAAAACAAAACAAGTTGATTAAGAATTAAATGCTTTCCAAATAAATTTGATGCTGAGGTAAGCAAATTCAAAAATTCACTTTGGAAGTAATCCACAAGCATTCAAAGATTGCAATATCCTCATATAGGGGTAGGCCACCTTGGTCCCTTCATGACTCGTGGACTTCAACTCCCAGAATTCCTGAGCCAGCATGGCTCAGCTTGGAAACCTCTTCCTTTCTCCTCAGCATGGCTGGCTTAGGAATTCTGGGAGTTGAAGTCCATGAGTCATAAAAGAGCCAAGGTTGCCTATCCCTGACCTAGTCAAACCAAAGAATGGGAAACAAAACTTTATCCTCAGCCACCTATCTAGCCCCTGAAATCTCTATCTACTCACTCCCTTTTTAAAGAGCAGAGGTCTCCAAATTTGGCAACTTTGTGGAGCATGGGTGGCTGAGGAATTCTGCGAGTTGAAGTCCACAAATTTTAAAGTTGCCAGGCGTATGGAGGCTCCTGAACTAGAGGAGAAACTCTTCTAGAATTATTTGTATCCTTCTCCCTTGCATTAACATACTATATGGATGTATTTTGAGAGCAGAATCTCAAAATTGTTCCTAAATAAGACAATTCTAGAATTTAGAAAACTAGCCTTCCCTTTTCAGCAGGATTTTTCCAGTACCTGAATTTAGTTACTACTTCAAACAGAAAATCTATACTGACATCTCAGATGTAATGTCCCCAGGAAGGCAAGAGCCTCGGATTCTGCAAAGTGACTGTACCAGGCAAAGTCACCTTCTCCAAACAAATCACTTTTGTTGTCTCATTCACCATGAACTGGTTAGTTTAAGAAGGGAGTCTAAGTCTTCTCCCAATATTATTGTAAGCGAATCTCCTAACCCACAGCTGCATCCCTGGAGTGTTTTGTGTTCCCATCTCCCAAACAGCTATCTGGGGGAAGAAGTCAGAAAGTAAAATTAGAAAAGGATCCAGTTTGAAAAAATGCTGTTTTGGGACAAAACCTGGAGAAGATTCCTCAGCTTATCTAAAACTCATAGTTTTCTCTAAAACTAGTGACTCTGCAGATGTTTTGGGCTCTCAGTTCTCATCATGCAACAGAAAGCATGATTAAAGACAATGGGAAGTGGTTCAATGATTATCTGGAGCTCCCCAACTTCCTTTCCTTGATCTAAAAAAACATAAACCTTTTGACTGGACTGGAAGCTGAACAAGACTGGAAACAAAAGTGCCTAAAATTGTATGATAATGCAGCATGAGCTCACTTTTGTTATCAGAGCTGCAGAAACTGAGTATTTCTCAAGAGTTTAGTAAGGGATGCAAAACTAGCAACACTAGTTAGATTATTGCTGATGCTTGCTTTCATGAAGCATTAAATAAGTTCAAAACTTTTTCTTTTTAATATTCATTGTTTGCTGGAGATATTAAAGAGGATTTTACAAGGCTCAGATTCCTTTCAGCTGTACATTGCACTTTAAATTTTGAAACTCAACACCCGCTCATTAGGTCAGTGGTGACATAGTACTGAACAAACTATTGTGCTCACCTAGTTGAGTACAGATATTTAATGCAGTGACATTAGCACTTTTTCTTATAAAGCAATCACAGATTGCAATTTTTGCAAATTTGCAAAATCATGAACACAAAATGATCTCTTCAGAAATTCAGACAAGAAATCATTTACAAAGACTTTTAACTAACACTACTAACTTTCCCCGTTCTTTTCATAGCAAGTCCTATTTCTGCCCTGAAACCTACCGGATTCCCAGAGAATTTAACAAGTACCCCACAAAAACGTCCTCTTCTTCATGGTATAGTATAATGAAGACACACTCATTGGTGAAATCATTAAGGACCCATCTAAAGCCAGACCCAGTAGGCTATCCCTTGGAAAAATGTAAATTTTGGCTCTGTGTTTCCAAGAGAAATGATATAGGGAGCCATAAAACAAGTGAGCAGCTAAACAAACTGTTGATTTTCAAGATGGTTTGCTCCGCACTTCAAGAAGCCAGGTGTTTAAGACATAAATCAAGATAATATTCCTGTGCTAGCCCTTTTACAATAAGATGGTCTGCAAAAGCCTCTTCTCTGGTCCTTATTTCTTTATACAACAATGGTTCTTTCATTCAGTCCCCTTAAAGGCAACACAGGATGAACGATACTTGGGAGAATTACTATTCCACTGCTCCACCAGGCCATACCAAGCAATTGTCTTTGAGTATGGGTAGAATTAAGATTTGCTTCAAGGCTTTGAAAATGGCAGCTGTTTCCAGGATTCGGAAGGACAGCCATTATGATTCGGCTTATTGTGCATGAAAAATCTGTGCTGAACATTTTCCACCACAGAGTCAGAAACTTCTCAGACATAAATCAAATAAATCTTGGCCACTTTATGGTGAGTTCATCCCTTCCCAAGGTACAGAGAGCTCATGCTGGTAATTCAAGATGAAAAATGCTAGCTTGAACTGATCCTTATTCTGCTTTCACCAAGATCCGGGTATTTAGTCACTGTCAGATCCGGGTATTTAGTCACTGTGAGGTTTCTCGGGAACACCCTGTGGACAAAGTCAAAAGTTACTGTACTCCATTGAAATCTGTCTTCTTGGAAATTAGGGAAGCTGTATAAGCTTAGATTCCAAAATGCTGTCACTGAAATGCTAGAGAACAATCTGATATATCAGCCAGGAATACCTTTCAGGTAACTCCTTTCACGAAACAAAGATAAGAATTTTGTAATCGCTTTAATATTAAATAGCATTTAAAAACCAAGAACATGAAGGGAGATGAGCAAGCCTGCAATTTGTATTATAATCCAGTGAAGCGTCCTTTTGCTTCCATCCACCACCCAATGATAATTACTACCCTGCTTGTTTCTGGAAACGGGATCAAAGGTCAAAATTGGGCACATTGCACATTTTCCAGTCATTTTCCACCCCGTGTCCTTTCAGTGAAGCAGTCGACGTGATGTGCCGGTGCCTGGAAGATGTGAGGGTCTGGATGGGGGTGAACAGGCTTAGACTCAACCCTGACAAGACCGAGTGGCTCTGGGTCTTTTCCTCCCAAAGGCCAACTGGATAGTCCATCTTTAGTCCTGGGGGGGGCAAATTTACCTCCCTCAGTGCAGGCACGCAACTTGGGTGTCCTCCTGGACTCACAGCTAAATCTGGAACAACATCTATCGGCTGTGGCCAGGGGGACCTTTGCACAGGTTCGCCTAGTGCATCAGTTGCGGCCGTATTTGGACCGGGAGGCTTTACTCACAGTCACTCATGCCCTTGTCACCTCAAGACTGGATTACTGTAACACGCTCTACATGGAGCTACCCTTGAAGGGCGTTCGGTGGCTGCAGTTGCTTCAGAACGCAGCCACGAGAGCGATTGTGAGCGCGCCAAGGTACGCCCACGTGTCACCTATCCTCCGCGAGCTGCACTGGCTTCCTGTGGGTCTCCGGACGGTTTTTGTTATCACCTTCAAAGCCCTTTATGGCATAGGGCCAGTTTACTTACAGGACCACATACTGCCGCACAGTTCCCAGAGACTGGTGAGGTCCCATAGATTGGGCCTCCTTCAGGTCCCGTCGGCCAGACAATGTCGGCCTTTTCTGTGGTGGCTCCGACCTGGTGGAATCAACTTCCCCCCGAGGTTCGAACTACTCCCACCCTGCCGGCCTTTAAGAAAGCCGTTAAAACTCTCCTGTTCCGGCAGGCCTGGGGCTGATGTCCCCGGGGGGGGGGGGGCGGGATTTGATCGGACCCGCGGTATGATTGTATTATTTTATTGTTTTATGATTGTTTTAACTTTGTACGCCGCCCTGAGTCCTTTGGGATTGGGCGGCATATAAATATTTGAAAATAAATAAATAAATAAGACTTGGATCCCAGAATAAGCATGATTATAGGTCCTTCCTGCTTTGGATAGCATATTCTGCAGGATATGAAAATGCAACAAAGCTCTACAAGGCATGGGACCAGCATGTTTGAAGGACCACTTCTCTCCAGTTACATCTACCTGGCCAATCAGAGTGGGAAGGTAGGGTATGTTGTGGGTTGCATCTTTTAAGGAGTATACCCAAAGGGATCTAGAAGAAGGGCCTTCTCTGTGATGGCTCCTTTCCTTTGGAAAATCATTACCCCAGAAATCAGGTGGGCTCTCTCTTGCTACTTTTTTGGAAGATCCTGAAGATGAGATTCTGTCAATCTGGGGACCCCAGGCTGATTCAGAATCAAGTGGGTTGTATGATTGTCATTGCCATGGAGGAGGTGTGGAAGATTCTGGGTTTTTATATTGTTGATTTTTAATGCTGTACTGTGTGTGAACCAGGCATTCATGTAAATCAACTTAATAAATAAAGTAAATGATACTCCTCTCTGCAGTGGGAAAAGCAGACTTTGTTCCTTTAAACAAGATGATTAGAAACTGACACAAACTAATATAAACTAAGGAAGAAGAAAAAGAATCAAAGAAAAAACAAAAACTGCAGGGAAAAAAGTTGAAGAAAATAGGAAAGGAAGAAAAAAAAGCAGCCTTTGATGTTTTTCACATTTGCATTTATAAATACAGATGTTTTGACCTATCTGTCTAAAGGTATATATTACTCTTCTAACCTATCATATCTAATTATCAAATCCATACATCACAAGTTTATTTTTTTTCATTTTTATGCAAAAAGTCCATAAGAGACGTCCTGTCACCAATAAATGTAATAAGCCTAATATCTGGAAGCTGTTAATAAGCTCGCTTACTTGAGGAGTGAGAAGTTTAGAAAAAAAACCTTTTTTTCCAACCTGCTTTTCAATATATTTTATTTATCTAAAATCTCTTCATTGACAAGGCTGCTGGCAGAATTATCTTGAACCCCAGACAAGGATCCTCCATTGCTATGCAAATTTGTTATTCTAGTTGTAGATAGATAAAAGAACCAAGGCATTTAAGAAGGTTGAGGCCATACATTCTTAATAAAATCAATCAATCCTTACACTGAAGAAGCAAGTTTTCTGAGGCATTTCCTGAGATTGAATGCCACAGCTATTTCAATATAAAAGTCACACTTAGCTACAGTATTTTCTATCTTTTTATTGAAAAAACATACAGAAGGGCTTAGCAATAAACATGTCTGCAGATTCTCCAGGATGATATACATTTACATGGCTTTACAATACCTGTCATTATTAAAAGGCATCATTACTTATTACATCCATAGGTAATAAGTATGGTTTTATCAGCCAAAGCAGCACTTTTCACTTTTTAAAATCCAGCATAAATATATAATTACCATAGCAAGTTGCCGTCCTATGTTTCCTACAGTCACACCTCCGGAGAAAAATATACATGGTAGCCAAGAACGGATATAAAGGAAATCTGGAGATGTATACCTAAAGGAAAGGAGAGGGGGGAAAAAATGGAGGATTGTTTATAGTTTTAGCATCTCATCAAAACTGGTCTGGACATTTCGCTCTGCTGGAAATAGGGACAGTATAAGGAACTCAGATTTTCATATCTTATTAGAAGTACCAAATATACGCATACAACTATATTTAAAATTGTTAATGCTAATGCTTTTATAGTTACACTTTTATGCCACTGTAAGTTGCCCAGACACATTCTAGTTAATGAGACAGGTGGCATATAAGTTTAATAAATAAATACAAACACATTTATAGAGAATATTTTGAATGTATTCCTGTGTCTTAGGAAATCCTAAACCTAGAACTATTAAGAAAAATCATGATGCAGCTTTGCAAATAAGTCCATGGAAGTTACTAACTGGTTAGAAGTAATACAGGTCTCTTCTAACATAATCTTTGGCTTATGTACACAATAGAGGACCATAATAGTTCCTCAATACTTTCTCATTCACTTGCTTATCTGCAACTTCACAGGGCTAACTTTTGGCAAATGCTCAAAAGGCTGGTTTTAGGCAAAGACACAAAAGGAAAAAAAATACTCTCTTTGTGCCCAGTTCCAGTATTCGCTGTACATACTACCAAATCTAAAACCATTTGCCCATATTACACAGCTAAATTCTGATCTTGCACATAGAAATAAAGCTGTATTATTAAATTAGGGCCAACATTTCCCTCTTTAATAAAATAGCCATCAATATTTGAAGAGCTAGTTTGGTGTAGTAATTAAGGTGCTGGACTAGAAACTTAGAGACACTATACGTTTTAGTTTACCCTAAAAATAGAATGGAATCTAAGTGAAAAGGCTAGTAAATCTCTCTTAGGGCCACCCACCTCACAGGGATCCTCTTACAGAGAAAATAGGAGGTAGCAATATTATACAGGCTGCCTTGAATTCTACAAAATAAATGCATATGATAAATCTAATAATCAATAAAGAATGATAGAAAATTGAAATGAGTGCAGGCATAATTCGTGCCTTTTTTTTAAAAAAAAAAAAGGCTGAACAATTAGAAATAAGAGAATGGAAGAGGTACTTACTGATAAACTCCATTATAGACCAGAAACTGTGTAATCAGAGTAGCTACAAAAGCAATTGTAATCCCAAGACCAAGACCACTTCTCGAACGATCAAATGTCCACCAGAGGCCCAGCGACAAAGCTGCAAGGGTCAGGGAAAGCTGGATATTGTTTGCAAAATCCAATTTCTAAGAAGCCAGTTAAGGAAATTTAATGGTCTGGCAAATTTCTTGCTCCATGAAAAATTCTTAATATCTAGCCAAGTATTCCACCTTTTTATCCTTTTCACTTTTGATAAGTTCTTTACCTTTCCTACTATTATCATTATGTCTTATCCATAACATGCACATGCAGATATCAATTTACAGCAGTGTTTCTCAACCTTGACAATTTTCAGGCATGTGGACTTCAACTCCCCGAATTCCACAGCCAGCATTGCTGGCTGTGGAATTCTGGGAGTTGAAGTCCACATGCCTTAAAATTGTCAAGGTTGAGAAACACTGATTTACAGAAAGTACAGGAAGTAAGAATAGTATACTTGAGAGATCATTTTCCTGCAAACCTACGCGATTCCTGGTTCCAGCTGAGTATCTCAACCTGCAGGGGGCAATCTTTTCTATGTATTTTCTAAGCTCTCTTTAAATTTAATATCTCTTTAAAGCAGTGTTCCTCAACCTTGACAATTTTAAGGCATGTGGACTTCAACTCCCAGAATGCTGGCTGTGGAATTCTGGGAGTTGAAGTCCACATGCCTTAAAATTGTCAAGGTTGAGAAACACTGCTTTAAAGAGATATTAAATTTAATGAAGTAAAATTTAAAGCCATATCCTGAGGGAGAAGTTATAACACAGCAAAGAAAAAGAAATTATTATTTTCACAATTAGGAAGACTGAACTACCACATTTATCTGAAAATAATGCCTTATATGAATGCTCTGGAGAACAATGGATTGTTAAATAAATCTCCAATTCTATAAAGTGACATTTTAAAAGAATTATAGGCCTACTGTTTTTTTATAAGTGTAAAAGAAAAAAAAACTTATGCTCACAATTTGCTACATTTCCAATATATTTTTCTTGATAATACCTAAGCAATACCCTATGCTCTGCAAGTGAAGAGATAACGATGGGAGCATCTCACTTTGCTATTTAAGTTTGTTGGTGTGAATAATGTAAATATTAGATATAAGTGTGGCTAGGTCTTTGGAAGCCAGAAAGGGAATATAAAAATCTTTCAGATCAGTCAGTATCTGCCAAAAATAGAATGGAATCAAGCAAACCCTCATGCCATATGGTTAAGGCACCAGGCTAGAAACCAGGAGATTGTGAGTTCTAGTCCTACCTAGGCCATGAAAATTGGATGAGTGACTTTAAGTCAATCACCAGGAGACAGTGAGTTCTACCCCTGCCTTAGACATGAAAGCCAGCTGGTGACTTTGGGCCAGGCCCTCTCTCTCTCTCTCAGCCCAACTCACCTCACAAGATGGCTGTTAGGAGAAAGAAAGAATCTATATGTGTGCCTTGAATTATTTATAAAAATAACAAAGGTGGAATATAAATAAATAAGATGGTTTTTTTTTTGCAATAAATAAGATGGTTTTTTTTTCGCAAACTCCACTAGCTTTAGTTTAGATCAGGGGTAGGCAACCTTGGCTCTTTTATGACTGGTGGACTTCAACTCCCAGAATTCCTGAGCCAGCATGGTTCAGCTTGGAAATCTCTCCCTTTCCCCTCAGCATGGCTGGTTCAGGAATTCTGGGAGTTGAAGTCCACGGGTCATAAAAGAGCCAAGGTTCCCTACCCCTAGTTTAGATTCTTCAGGACAAAACTGAAAGAGAAATAATACATTTTAAGCAGAGACCTTAGAGCAAAGTTTTCCAACTTCAGGAACTTTAAGATATATGGGCTTCACCTTCCAAATTCTGGCTGGGGAATTCTGGGAGATGGAAATCCAGACATTTTAAAAGTTTCCAAGGATGAGAAACTCTGCTTTAAAGTATAAGTAGCACAGGCACTGATTGTGAAACATAATTGCTCAAATCAATTGAAGCTGGTCCATTAATGATGGGGAGAAAAATGCTAGCCAAAGTTAAACTTTTTGTTTTTTCCAAGGATACAGCACTTGCATGGTTAATGCCAACGAAGACAGCAATGCATCGCATTACGCTTGCCCATTCTCGTTTGAATTTGTGAGGTTCACCAAGACGGCTGTCAATGCAGGGATACAGCAGGCCAATAACAGCTGTAAAAGAAAAAGTAATACGAGAGATGATTGTTCTGTTAAATTCTGTTAAATTAAATTTCCTCTCCGCAGCAAACAGCAAAGCCTATTTCCAATTTTCTGACTTACTGAAGATTATAGTTAGACCTCAACATATGACCATTTGCTTAACAATTGTTTGAAGTTTATGAGTCCTTGCACTTATGACACTTGAGATTCCCTAGGGTTATGTAATCAAAATTGGGCATTTGGAAACCAACATGATTTTATGATAGTTGCAGCATCCCAGGGTCACATGATCACCATTTATGACTTTCCTGGGTGTGTGTGTGTGAGGGGTTTTGACAATAAAAATGAAGAGGGAAATCAGATCAGTTTAATGACTATGTGACTCGCTTAACCACCACAGCAAAAAAAAAAGCAGGCACAGCTCATGTAACAACTGCCTCACTTAGTAATAGAAGGTCAAGTCCCAAATGTGGTTGTAAGTTGAGGACTACATGCATATTTAAAAAACTTCATCAAACTGTCTCATCATAAGGTTTCAACAAAATGCAATAGTGGTTTTAAAAAATAACATTTATAGTGCTGGGCAGATTACTTAGAATATTCACTTCAGATTCCTAGAAGATAATGATTTCTTATGTCTAATAATTAGGTAAATTATAGGTGAAAAAGGATACAAAAAGTAGCATTTTTTGTATTTCTAGAAACCTTAGCAGCCTTCAGGAATCTTTCTACACACAATGCTTGCATTAAAAATGAACGACTGCTGAAGACTTTTAGCCACTAGTGAAATGAACAGAAAGTTTAAAACTTTGTAAATATTGTAATTATTGATATGGAACCTTTAAGTAAGAATCCAGTATTTCTTCTAATTCTTTAATCCAGATATATAAACTAAATACATTTTCTTCCACTTGAAGAAAATGCTTTTTTTGCTGAAGAATTTATGCAAATAGAATGCAACATTTAACTTTTAATTATAGCATTTATATATTATTTCATCAATGATGGATTCAACAATTTAACAGGTATCTAATACTGAAATAGATTGTTTCTGAAGCAATCAACAATTATTTTTACAAATAATACTTACTGTATTCAACAGTAACTTATAAGAAAGTCTCTCTAAGGCTCAAAGTCTGTGATTTAAGCCACTGTAAAATATAGAAATACCCTTTTCCCCTATGGAAAAATCATGTGACGTATTTTTTAGATCAGCACAATGATTAAGTGACAAAGCCCTGGTCCTCTCTAGGGCAACTATGTAAGTTCAATGAAACAATTATGTCTATGCTTTCTTTTGCCTGATTTATTTTACAGCTTGTGCTATAGTGGTTAAAAAAAATCCACCTATTTTTGTGAAATAAAAGCTAGTTTCTTTTTCCTGTCTTGACCTGCAAAGAAAAGATTTTAAGTCTGATACCATAAATGGCTTTGCAGCCAAAGCTATGCGCAATCTTCTGTCAACAATAGCCCTGTTTAAATACAGTGATTTGGAACCCGATGCCTGAAAATACCTTTTGGAATAATAATTCTCAAAAGGGACTAGCTTACTGAAAAGGAATTATAGTAGTTCAGCTTGAGCTTTTACTTGTACTTTGCAATATAAAAAGGTCATTTTCTATGAACATCTTGCTAGGAACTGAAACTGCTCTTAAAATAGGCACTAAGCCAGTCTCAGTTCCTCTCTTCTGTCACAACATGTGACTTCCTTGTTTTTGATTGAGTATGTGGCATGTTCAGACTGAGAACCAATAGGAACTGGAGCACGCGACTCACCAGTTTCCACAGCGAGCCAATTATGTGGCCAAGAGTAATGATGAATCATGCCAGCTCCTGGATTAAAAACTTGTCAAGCAATAATAGCTAGAGGAAACTCTTCTTGCTTGCAGGGTGAAAAATAATGGCAAACTCCCAAAGCTTTTGGAAGGAAGAAGGAAACACTGTGCTGCTAAAGGTGTTATTTTCTTATATGTAATCTCAGTATTTTCCTTGTGAGGTCAAATACAGTCCTATCAAATAGCATCTATATATATAAGCTCTTAAATGCCACTCTGGGCACCTATTTGGTTACATAATAAGGAAAATAAAACCACTTTTCAAGTAATTAAGCATGAAAATAGCACACACTGTTCTGGGCAATGAAGTAACATTCTTCAATTCAGCCTGGAGACACAACAATTGGAAATTCCACCACTACCTTTAAAAAGTTTCCCACTTACCTGCGGCTGTCCCACAGCAAGGGGGCACCCACCAGGCAGAAGAGAAGATTGTAGAGATGACTTCCTCAGGGAACAGCGTGACATTCCTCTGAATCTGCAGCAAGTTTAGCACCAGTGCAAGGAAAGTGCCCACTGCAAAAAGCACCAGGCTGCGTTGCAGTAAGTCTCTGCTTAAGTTCAAGCTGCTACCAGGGCTACTGCCTCTGTTTGGGCTGCTTGGGTGCCGGGCTGCATGACCCACCAAGGTCAGAGAAGAACTGGAAACAGATGAGGTTAGCATTTCACCCACTTTGGCTGCTAGCCCTGTTGAAGTTCCACCTAGGTGATCCTTGTATCTTCCCCTGGCTGTACAAGAACAACTCCACGTATGATTCTCAGGTTGAGGTACAGGTTTCTCCATCAGGTTTCTGAAAGAGACATGAAGGTCTTATAGAATCCAGAATGCCCCCAAAAGCCCTCAATACGTTATGTGCTATATGATTTTATAAATTTCTCCTCATACGTCTCTAATTAACCAAGGCCTGATAAAATTTCACTTTATAATGTGGAATTCAGTACCACTGAATTGGTCAGGCCACACTTGGAATACTGAATCCAGTTTTGGTCACCACAGTATAAAAAAGATGTTGAGACCCTAGAAAGAGTACAGAGAAGACCAACAAAGATGATTAAGGGGCTGGAGATTAAAACATATGAAGAACAGTTGCAGGAATTAGTCTGATGAAAAGGAGGACTAATGTTGACATGATAGCAGTGTTCCAATATTTGAGCAGCTTCTACAAAGATGAGGTCAACCAGTTCTCCAAAGCACCTGAAGGCAGGACAAGAAGCAGTGGATGGAAACTAACCAAGGAGAGAAGCAACCTAGAACTAAGGAGAAATTTCCTGACAGCGAAAATGGAATGGCTTGCCTCCAAAATGTGTGGGTGCTCCATCACTTGAGATTTTTAAGAGATTGGACAACCACCTGTCTGGAATGATATAGGTCTCCTGCATGGGGTTGGACTAGACTCCTTCCTGTTATTGTTATTTCTCTGACAGCATTAGTATAGGACCAAAGAAAATGATTTGAAATGACCTTAAGGAATTTTCTCCTTACCTTTAATTTAAAAAAGTCCTCTCCATCTCAAGTCTTGGCCTTCCTAACCATATTATTTTAAGAATTAGGGATATGAAGTATCTTATAGTGAAACTGAGGTAGTGTCTTATTACCAGACTACAGAACTAGCAGTCCGTTAAAACTGATACTTAGCCAAGCATATTTATGAAGTCACTTGACTTCCTTATCGCAAAAAGCTGTTGCCAAAGGAAACGTGCTTTGAACTTCTGGAAAAGCGACAAGATAAAACCATTATTAGTTTAAATATTTACACTGTTTCAAGGAATATAATTCCACACAGATTCTACAGAAGATTTATCTAGAATTCCAAATACAAATATCAGCATACAATATAAAGTATATAATTTTATATATCATGATGTCAAAGCAGTAAGAATTTTCTAAGAATAAAACATTGTGCTTTAAACTTAAACTGCCAACAAGTTGGTGACTACATAAGTAGATCTTTTTCAGGAATACCAGTTACAGTTCTTCCAAATTTGCACTCATCCATCTTGTTACTAATTGCCCTCTTCTCTTTCCTTCCACCTTTCCCAGCATTTAGACTTTTGAGTGCACTGAATCTTCACATTATGTGTCCAAAGTATGATAATTTGACTCTTGACATTTTTGCCTCCAGTGAGAATCCTGGACAATTTGTTCTACAGTCAACATTTTCTTGGCTGCCCATAGTTGTCTCAACAATCTTCTCCGATACAAAAATTCAAAACTGTCTAGATTCTTTCTGTCCTGCTTCTTCAGAATTCAATTTCTATGAAGTTCCTGAACAATTCTGATTTTTATTTTGTGTAGACCAGGGGTCTCCAAATTTGGCAACTTTAAGTATTGTGGATTTCAACTGCCAGAATTCCTCAGCCAGGAATGCTGGCTGGGGAATTCTGGGAGTTGAAGTCCACAACTCTTAAAGTTGCCAAGATTGGACACTCTGGTATACAACCTTCAAGCTTTACCAAGTATGAAATGTAGCATTACATTGACCCAATACCAATGACATGGCAATGACAAAAGAGTTGGAAGGGATCTTGGAGGTCTTCTAAGTCCAACCCCCTGTTCAAGCAGGAGACTCTATACCAGTGGTTCTCAACCTGTGGGTCGGGACCCCATTTGGGGTCAAACGACCATTTCATGGGGGTCGCCAAACAAGGCTGTCTGCCATTTTTCCCTTTTCTTTGGCCACGCCCCTGGCACCCGGTGATGTATAAATGGTTGGGGGTCACCACAACATGGGGAACTGTATTATGGGGTCGCGGCATTAGAAAGGTTGAGAACCACTGCTCTATACCATTCTGGACAAATGGTTGTGCAGTTTCTTTTTGAAAGCCTCAGCTTTCAAACAGCTAGAGCCTATAATCTAAAAGTTCTCATTTCATGTAGGTTATTGAACTGCCCTTTTTCCTCTTCAAAGTAGGGCAAACTGTTATAAGATGCCAGACTAGTTTTGTCTATTTGGTAGTACAAGAATGCTAACATTGTAGGAAAAAGGCTGCCTCTTCGGAGATCTTAGTGAAGGCCACTGTATCTGGGCAAAGAACCCCTTCTGCTGCAGGGATAGAACCACCAGATATCCGACTACCATATTCTCCTGTCAGATAAGAGGGAGGCGTAAAATAAACAAGGTCTGCCTCCAACTCAGACTAGTTGTGCTTTCTCAAAACTTCATCAGCCTAAGCATGTGACTTCAAACTTTGGAAAAAAGCTAAGCAGGATCATGCTTCATAGATAGTTGGATGGGAAACCACCAGGAGAAATTAAGGCCGTAGGCCAGCTTGGGAAACTTCATTCTGGAAGGCAATGGCAAACCATTTGCATATTGTTGGCAGAAAAATGACACAAAATTACAAGAAATGACTCAAGTGACTGATTATGTTTCTATTTTAGGTGCAACTGAGACTTCCAATCTTCTGAACTGGCCTCTTGTCCCTCCAGCATTTAACTGTCAAGATTGGAAGGAAGCTTAAAGCTTCTACTGTCAATTCTCTTGGTCCTGAGGCTCCTAGCTATTAAGCCCTGCCACTGCTGCCTGCAAGCAATCATTCAGAGAATAAGCCAAGATGCTAACCATGCATGTGTTACACATGGAGCACTTAACCCTCCCACCTACTTATTCCAATACTGGGTGGAATTGGGGGGGGGGGATTTAAATGCAAATTTTTTTTTGCACAGAACCACAAAGTGAACCCAACCCAAAGGTCCATCTCTCTCTCTCCCCCAGCAAAGACCAACTGGATTTTCTTACAAATTAAATTTCCTCCAACAAGGTCTGTCAGAAAAATAATATCCCTTCTCTGGTGTGTATGTGTGTGCATCCCGTGGGCGCCCAGTTGGAGGAAGCCTATTTGCAGCAAAAGGCTAAAAAAGCCTTTTGCTGTTCCCCCCCCCAACAGATTCGAGGAAGAGGGGCTCTAACACCCACCAAGTAGGGTACCCGCCCGGTACCCGCAGGTAGACTGCCTCCAACGATGGAGTCTCGGGTGACCGCTACCTGCCCGTCTTCCACGAAACCGCTACCGTTGAAAGGGGGGGGAAGAAGCGTCCTGTTCACTCTTCTCCACCCCCCCCAAACACAGCCCCCCCCTCCCCTGCTCCTACCTGCTGGGATTCAGGCAGCGGCGTCCCTCTCACTCGGCCTCGCACGCACACGCGCCCGGCCGGCTTATAAAGGCGCTAGCGCCGCGGCGCGAGCCACTTCGGGCGGCGCGCCTCCGCCCCTTCAGCGGGGCGCCGCTGCTGAGGCTGACGCGACGAAGAGGGAGGGGGCGGAGGCGGGGCTGCCGAGCAGTCCCTGGAACGGCATTGCAGTCTGGTGAGGCCAGCCAGCCAATCGGAGCCAGGCGGGCCATATGACGTGAGGGACACACCACCCGTTCTTCCCTCAACTGACAGGGCGGGAAGGAGAGAGAGAGAGAGAGTCAGCAAGCAAGGGGGGGGGGAAGGCGCGTGGCAGGAAGGAACGTCCCAATTCTAGCGGGGGTGCGGGGGGGGGAGGATGAGGTTGTGGTGGCGCCCTTAGTGGGGCCCACGTTGGGGTGTCCGCGTGCCTTTCTTCATACAGCCCGGCTCCCCCCCCTCCAGGGAACCCGCTTTCCTCCTCTCCTCCCTTTCCGTTGGCTCCTCCTAGTCACGTCGCCTCTGCTGCACAGTTGGTGGCTGCGAGAGCCCCGCGAGGGAGGACATGCGGGGGGGGGGCGCTCCAGAAGCAGGTGTTTCTGACCGTTTTAACCGCTGGAGGCTTTGTATCACACCTCCCATCCGCCATCGTCGGTAGTGGCCTTGCTGGGAGAGGAGGAGGGTTGCACGTCCTCGATTTAGGACTACAATGGAGCCTAAAATGTACCTTGTTAAGTGAGACATTTTAAGAGAGTTTTGCCCCATGTTATGACTTCTTGCCACAGTTGTTAAGTGGAACACTGCAGTTGTTAAGTTTAATAACAAGATTGTTAAGCGAACCTCATTGACTTTGCTTATCAGAATGTTGCAAAAGGGAACCCATGATCCCAGAATACTGCAACCGACATAAATACGAGTCAGTTGCCGAGCATCCAGATTTTAATCACGTGATCATGGGGATACTCAATGATTGTAAGTGTAAAAAGCAGTCACTTTTTTCAGTGATAACTTTGAATGGTCACTAAATGAACTGTAATAAGTTGAGGACTACCTGTGTTGTAATCTATCAGTTTGGAGCCATGCTGGACAAGAGAGATGGGGCAAGAGATTATTCCAATGTGTTTTTCTTGGGAAAACTGGAAAACATTTCCTAAGAGGGGAGAGTGTCTGTAGAGCAGCGGTTCTCAACCATTTGGGATCGAACGACCATTTTACGGGGGTCGCCAAACAACGCGATCCGCCATTTTTCCCCCTCAGGGAATGCGCCGCCGCGCATGCGCCCCCCATGGGGGGCACTGCCGCACATGCGCACGTGGGGGCGCCAGTGCGCATGCGCGTCGCGCATGTGCACCACGCGTGGGGGCGCCGCCACGCATGCGCACTGCATCACGCGCGCGTGGCGCGTCCGTGTGACAGGGGTCGCCGTCACACAAAGGTTGAGAACCGCTGCTGTAGAGTGTGGCCCAAAATCAGGAAGGCTGCCGTTCTGACTTTTTTGACCATAGCCTGCAGAGGGAGAACTTATTATGGATGCCACACAGCCTAGGAGTTTTTCATCATTATCTGCAGGGTGGGAGATGTTGTGGTCTTACTTATGCATACACTGGGAATGACATAGTCACCCTTATGGCAGAGGAACCCACAACCTGTCTCTTTCCCCTGCGGGGGGGGGGAGATTGACCTTTGTCCCAGTATCTTGTCTCCTGCCAAAGGGCACATTGCAATTTTTTTTTTTAAAAAAAAATAGCCTGTAAACTGGTCAAAGTGTCTATCCATGAGGACTGAATCATTCCACTTTTCCTTTTTTCCAGATTTCCCCAGCAGTTTTTATCCAAATGCAAATGTGTAGTGAAAATAAGAGTTGGAACGGCTGTGTAATCCTCCAATCCGATCTCTACTAAGTCCAGGGGATCCAAATTAAGATGTCCCTGATATAGATGGTTATCCAGCTTTACTTAAGGACATCCTGAGGATCAGTTTCTTTTAAGAATTACTTCCAATACTGAACTCCTACAGGTGGGAAGCTTTTCCCCAATGTTATTTGGAGTTTGCAGTAGTTTGATCGTGGTTCTGGATCTTTTGGTTTGAGAAAAGCAAAACAAATCAGGATTTCTTTTTTCAGATAATTTATTATTTCATTCGTACAGCCACCTATCTCACTACAGTGATTTTTCGTGTGTTACAAAGTTAAAAAGTCCAGAAAACAATGCAAAATCCACCAAAGAAGTAACAAACTCATTAAAAACAATAAAACTGATCAAAACTATTAAAAATAATTAATAGTGGAACACAATTTCCTAAAAGTACAACCACTTTTAGGATCCCTGGGTTCTTCCAGAAGATCACAAAAGTCAGAGCCACTCTCACCTCAGAAGGGCAGGTGACTCAGCAGAATAAAGCTCTCCTGACACTCATCAGATGACCTTCTTGGACAGGATCCATGGCATTCGCTTCCTGGCAGACCTGATAAGATGTGATTGGAGTATATTGGACCTTCAAATACTCTGCCTTCATGCCAGGTACTTGTTGCGTGGATTCAGGTTGTCCTCAGCTTATGACCATTATTGGTACCAGAATTTCCGTTGATAAACAAGGTGGTTTTTAAGTGAGTAGCACCTCATTTCACAACCTTTTTACCATGATTAAGCAAATCATTCACTTTATAAGTGAATCGTGTGGTTGTTAAGTGAATTCAGATTTTCTCATTGAATTTGTTTGTCAGAAACTGCCTGGGAAGATCACAAGTGACAATTGTGTAACTCTGGGATGCTGCAACTGTTGTAAATACCATATATGCTGATTGCAAGCACACAAAGTTTAATCACATGACCATGAGGATGCTGCAACAATTGTTAAGTGTGGGGACTGGCCGTATTTTTTCCCCCAATGCAGTTGTAACTTTGATCACTAAATGATTGGCTGAAAGTCAAGGACTATCTGTATTCCTTTCCCTCCCTCCCTCCCTCCCTCCCTATTTTTGAAGGTAAAATACCTGTATTTGCTATCCTCTGTCATCATGTATATCACTGCTACTTGAGAATAGTAATATCGTATGTGAGAATAAGAGAATGGGAAAGACTGCATTAAATGTCAGAACATTAGGTTATTAACTTAGAGATAAATAGGCTGATTTCCAGCTTTGCCAGAAAGTCAAACACTTATATTCAGAATCAGCTAAAGATGTAACCTTGAACACTCGCCTATTAAAAATCAGCTGAGGTACTCAGTATAGTGCAAAATGCCCTTCCAAGGTAGTCAATAATACTTGCCTTGATGCAAAGACATTTGATTAGCATCATTTTCAGATGACCTGCTCATGCCTGTATTGTTGTCAGCTGTGGGTGCTCAGTTCTGAAGTAGTGTTTTCTCTTGTATTCAAAAGACACATCAGGTATGGTGAAGGAAGATTGACCTAACATTGTCAGCGGTGATCTGCTTACCTCTAAATATGCTGTTGGACTGGCTCTTTGGCCTAGTTCTTGGTCTTGATGCCTGTTTTTCCAGCATTAGTTTGGCTTCTGCAGACCTTTTTGTTTCTGAAATTGACTAGCCCATGTCCGGCTTATAAGCTGTAACTAAAACTAATTGCTGAGCTCTTGCAGTTTTGAAGCCTGTGTGCAGGGGATTGGTTTTCCCAATAGTCACAGCTCCAAGGGAGTCCTTGGCTGCTCACTTTGTCCCTTTGTGTAACAGTGTTTACAGCTCTCCTGCTGATTCCCCACAGCAAAATCTCTTTCTCCAACTCAGTTTTGAACAACACACACACACACACACACACACACACACACACACACACACACACGATCGCCAACGTCCAACAACAGATATGGCATAAGAAGAAGAAGGAGAAGAGAGCTACCAATTAAAATAATTTGTGCATTAAAGTTGTAAGGGTAGCAGCCATTGAGGATCTGCTCCAGATTATAGTAAGGGCCCATGGGGGCAGTGTGCTATTCCACCTGCTTTTGCATGGGAAGGGAGCATGGCAAGGCAATTGTATGGGTCCAATCTAAAGTAATCAATCTAAACATAGCAATGCAAAGTTAAATGTCTTAAAAGGCCGTTTACAGTGAGAAGACTTTTACACAGCATTGAATGAGATTGAAGGCTGCTGCAACAGCATTAAAAAAAAAAAGAGTAGCCCACTCACCTGTTAAAAGAAACCTTGGACTAAATTGCCCCAGAAACTGTGTATCTTTTTATTTTATCACTTGAATATCTGTCACTGCTGTTAATTTCTAGAATGAAACCATGGTGTTGCCTATTGGGGCATTGGCAGCATCTTCCCTTAAAAAGATCCTCATAATCTGGAATAACAGCATTCTACTATGTATATACAATTGCACTGTTTGCAGGGAATTCTATTCCCTTATGTGGTAAAATCTCTAGTATTGGACATCTAGCCGCCATAAGTGGGAGAACATTTTATGATTGCTTGGCCCTAAATATGGATTTAAATCCCTTTGAAAGAAATCCAGAAGGTGCTGGGCTAAAGTAAATCCTTTAACTGGAACAAATATAAGACTTTTATTGAAACTTATTTGTGAGGCATCATACATGTTTAACATTCACATACAGTCAATGAAATTGGTTGCCTAGTCAAATTAAACTAAACTTTGATGGAATATTAGTCTTGATACAAAGATTAGAAAGTACAGGAAGGATGAGTAACAGTTGAATAAATGTTTATGTGTTGTGGCATTTAAAAAAAAATTGTGAGGGGGATATTGCCCAATCATGAAAGCTTTGTACTTTTTGAAGATAATTAGATAATTGTTGCATTCTAGTATGGTACACAAAGGTATTAGCCATGTATGTCTCTATCCCCTCACAGCTATACAGGTACAAGTAGTCCTCGACTTTGAACTGTAATAGAACCTGCCTATCACAGTTGTCAAGTTATGATAGTCATAAAAATGGATTGATTTTATGACCTTTTTTGTGGTGGTCATTAATCAAATGCCATGGTCTTTCAGCAAATCAGTGGTTTGCTATGAACACAGATTTTGTGGAAAACCCGAAGTTAATGCTGGTTTTCAACAACACCATCATAAAATGTAATCATGTGACCACAGGACACTGCAAAAGACCATAGATGTGACCTAGTTGCCAGGGGTCGAAAGTTCAGTCTTGTCT